CTGGCTGTTTCACCCCCCCCCCCCCATGGCTGCCTCCTCTGAGGCCCCACAGGACTACCTGCTCACCTCTCCCTGAGGGTGCGATGGGGCTGGGCCTCCAGACGGGGCCCCTCAGGGATCTGGGCTCTCAGGACTGCGGCCGCTCTGAGCATGGCCAGCAGCTGCTGCAGCATCTCCTTGTGCTGCATCTGGAACACCACGTCGAAGTCGCCGTCCTCTTCGTCTGTCTGCATCTGCCGGGAGGGCGGGGTGGAATCAGGCCATGGCCCCAGTACCCACCCACTCAGTGCCCTGGCTGTGATGGGAGGGAAGACTGAGGCCCATGGCCTCCCAGGGCCTCAGAGAAGGAGTCTAGGTCCTTTAAGACCTTGATGGGATCTTTGAAGTCTGGAATCAGAAGAGGACAGCCAGCCAAGAGTCTCCCAGGGAAAAGAGGCCTCTGGGCCTGGCCCCAGCCTGGCAACTTCAAGGTGTTCTCAGCAAGCTGCTGTGTCCTTGGTGTCCTCCCCAAGCACTCCCCCCACTTCCCACTCACTTGCAGAATGTCCTGCAGGTAGGAGGTGGCCTGGGTCAGGGCCGTCTCCAGTGAGCCCCGAGCCTTCTGCTCTTGGATCAGCTCCTCCTGTAGCCGCTGGGCCTCCCCCTGCTGCTGCTCCAGCTGCAGGCTCAGCTGGTCTCTCTGGCTCCTGGGTGAGGGACTGAGATGAACTAGCAGCTGGCTCTAGCCCAAGGCTGAGCTAGTGGCACCTGGGCCCATGGCCCTGCCATTCTCTGCAGCCCGGGCCTCATCCTGGGTCATGTGTGACCAGACAGGGATGAGCTCAGGCTGGGCCCCTGCCTGCCCAGCCCTCCCTCTGGGCCACACCTCAGGGCCTGGTTGTCAGTCTGCAGCTGCAGGAAACTCTGCTCCAGGCGGCTGAGCAGGAGGCGCAGCTCTTTGGCCTCAGCGGCACCCTGCTCCTGCTCATGACACTTCTTGGTCAGCATGAGGATGATCTGTGGGTGCAGGCAGATGGCTATGTCCCCCCAGCCCTGACTCCAGATGGGCTCGCCTCTGTGGACTGAGCGCCTCAAGCTCCCCACAGGTGGATCCACTTTCATAAGTTATGGGAGTTAAAGCAAAAGAAATCCAGAGCTGGGCCCAGCACCATGGAGTCCTCGCAGAGTTCCCGTTCCCTCCCTTACTGAGCTCGAGCCTGGGTCCACCTGGCCCAGCCGTGTGCGCCCTCCCTCTGCCCCACGCTCTGTGCGCACCTTGTGGTGGCCTCTGCTGTTGCGTGCCATGACCTTCTGGGAGCTCTCGAGCAGCTCCAGCTGTTTGCACAGCTCGTCCTGGCTGCCCTTGAGCTGCTCGTTTTCCTGCAGCAGCTGCTTGCTGTGCCGAGACGTCCTGGCCAGCTGCAGGGTCACGCTGCTGTTCTCCAGGATGGCCCGTCTGGTCGTCTCCCACATCTGGCTCGTGGCGACCTTGCGGAACTCGGCGGCCACCAGGTTCACGCGCTGAATGATCTCTTTCCTCAGTCTGCTCAGGATGGTGGGCGTGGGAGGGGGCCGGCTTCCAGCCCCCTCCTCTGGGTCCCCGGGCACCTGGGACCATTAGACACCTCTGCCCTCTACCCCTGGAAGAGGCAGGACTACAAGCAGGAGGCTCTTCCCTGTAGACCTGGACCTTTGGAATTTGAGCCATTTCAATGTAATATATAAATATAATGTGTAAGTAAATATATATTAAATATTCTATAATAAATATAAATGAATACAGTTTTAAAAAGTGGAAAAAGGAACTCGAGGATCCTCCAGTGCCAGCCAGCCTGAGGTTTGGAGCCGGGGTGTCTGCATCTTCGCCCACCTACATAAACCACCTGCCAGGGCCCCAGGGACCAGCGCAGTACCCCAGTCAGAAACCGAGGCCTGGGACTAGGGCGTGCCTGGCCAGGACGAGGGCACCGAAAGCCACCTACCTGTCCTTGTCCAGCACCGACTTCTTCTCCAGGGTGTGCACGTAGTCCTTGTAGTCACTCTCTTGCTTCCGCAGCTGGTCTTCCAGCAGCATGAACTTCTCCATGAGCTCCTCTTTCTGCAGCCGGAACTCCTCCACAGCTGCCAGCTTCCCCCCTGCTCCCCACAGGGCACAAGGCCTGATGAGGCGCTGCCTCAGAGGGCAGGGCCCCGGTGGGGGCAGCGAGGGCCTCAATTAAGTCATGTCCCTCACGTCTCTGTCCCTTCTTGCCAGTGTCCCATCCTTCCTGCACACCCTGATAAGGAGGGCTGGGCTACTGACCCTGCACTGCCATGCCTGGTCCTGCCCACCCTTACTCCTGGTCTGGAATGCCCTCCCTCCTCCCCTCTTCTAATCTTAGGGAGCCTTGTTCAGGTTCCACCTCCACCAGGAAGCTTCCCCTGATTCTCCCTTCTTGTGAAAATATTAGCGACCGCAGCATCTGAGTTCAAATGTCCTCACAACCTTTGCCAGCTGGGTGACCTTGAGCAAGACACCACTTTTTTGAAGTATTTCTCCACCTACAAATCTGTGTGCATGAGAGAGGATTCCTGCCTGGCCAGATTGCTGGATAATTCGGTAGCTGGTGTGCATGTGTAATATCCATCCCATCCCCAGGTGAGAAAGCAGGGTCAGAGGGCAGCGCCTGCCCCAGGCCCCAGATCCCGTCAGTGGTAGAGCTGGCATTTTTAAAGTGGTGTGTGTATGTTTGCGTGTTGTTGTTGTTGTTGTCTTGCCATAGGGTATGTTTGCCAGAGGGAAAAAGAGAAACTGAAATCACTGCCCCCTCCCACCCAGGGGGCATGGCCACACCGCAATCCCTTCTCCAGTCTCCTCTCAAGACTTTGGGCATGCGCACACATGCACCTGACGTGATTTTCAAGCCGTTGGGTCTTACACTTGAACCTAGACGGTGATCATGAGGGATCCAGCCACCTTAACCTCCACGCCCCCTGCTGGCTCCTGAGATTTTTTATTTTTAATTGCCAGAAGGCACATGTGCTTACCAGAGACAGAAACAGAGGGGGAGAGGGAGAAAGCACCTCCTGATAAGATGTGGTCACGCTGCAATCCCTTCTCCATTCCTCCATCCTGTCAGGATTTGGGACGTGCACCCATACGCGCCTGGCATGATTTCCAACCTGTTGGGTCTTGGACTTGAACCAAGAAGTCGATCATGTAGGGTCCAGCCACCTTAACCTCCATGATACCTGCTGGCCCCTAGAATTTATTTTAATTGCCAGAGGACCTGTGTGCTTGCCAGAGAGAGACAGAGAAACAGAGGGATTCTGCTGCAATCCCTTTCCGTTTCTCCACTCTGTCGGGATTTGAGGTGTGCATGCACATGTACCTGGGGCTGAGATTCGAACTTTGGTTAGCCATGTGGGAGCTGGCTCCCTTAACTTAGGCTATAGGGCTGGCTCAGTAGAGCTGAGATTTGAGCCCTGGACTTTTTGCACCTGTGGCTTGTGCCTGCAGGATCACCATCTAGTCCCTTCCTCACCAAGGATGATGTTCTCTGAGGTGAGCTGGTCCTTGGTCTCCTGGAACTCATGGCGCACCTGGGCCAGCTGTGCCTCGAAGGCGTCTTTCTCCAGCTCCTTGGCCAGCTGCAGGCTCTGGAGCTGTTCATTGAGGTCTGTGATCTCATCCACCCGCTGGTTGAGTGTGCGCTTGAGAAAGGCCACAATCTCCTTCTTGTTGTTGGCCAGCTGCTCGAACTCCTGGCGGAACAGCTTCTCCTGCACAGCCAGCTCATCCCACTTCCGCTGGTACCTGGGGTGGGAGTGGGGCAGAGATCCAGGGGTCAGGCAGACCAGCAGACCTCTGGTGTGGCTGGACCCACACTCCTGGGCCATGCTCCCCATTGTCCCACCAAGGGGCATTTGAGTTCTTCCAACCACAGCCTTGGCTGAGCCTCATTTCCCACTGTGCCCCCAAACAGTAGTCACGACAGCCACCAACACCGGTCTCAGCTGAGTCCCCAACTCCTGTGCCTGGTACACCATGGGTGTGCAGTGTAGACTGGCATCCCTTTTTTTTTTTTGGAGAGGTTTTTGCTATAGGGCGCGTGCGCTCGCCAGACAGACAGAGAGAGACAGAGACAGAAAGCAAGAAATCACCCCCCAGGGGGATGGTCATACTGCAATCCCTTCTCCTCCATTCTCCTCTCAGGATCTTGGGCACGCACGCACACACGCCCGGCATGAGTTTAAGCCACTGGGTCCAGGACTTGAACCGCGGTCGACTACATGGGAGTCCAGCGACATAGCCATTACGCTAACTGCTGGTCCCTAGACTGGCATCCTTATAACAACCTATTAATAAAAGGATGCGGGCCTTCTATGTGATGGTGATTATAGATCCTTCATCTATGATGATTACACTCACTTTATAGTGAGGAAACAGGCTCAAGGGATGAAGCAAAAGAGGCGCAGCCTGAACTTGAACCGAAAGCTGAGGCTCTTAGCCACACCACTTACTGCCGCAGTCAGTCGGCTCTGCGTGCCTCCCTGATGCTGCACTTCCCAGCCCCACGTCGTGGCACGCGCAGTCTTCCTCACCCTTGTCCACTGAGTGAACCCCGGTGTTGCCTCGTAGCTGCTTCCTTCTCTGCCCTGAGCCACATTTGAGGCCCGCTCTTTGGTGCATTCCTGTAGGTTGACCTTGTCCTACTGGGTGGTTGAGACCCGATGACCTGCTCCTCTCCTCCACCTGGCAGACCCCTCACGTCCTCCACCTCTGTATTCTCAAGGCTCAACAAATAGTACGCACCCAATAACTGTCTGCTAAATGCATTTTTCCTGAATACATTCCATCTGATAGTTCAGTTCAAAGGAAGTTTGCGAATCTTAGGAGCATCACAGAACTTTGCATAGTTTCCAGTGGAGTAATTGAAGGTATTTGGAAGTTGCCCTACTTCACAGTTTATCCAGCCAGTATCTTTCAGATGGGTACTGCAGGGCACTTCAGGGGTGTGGAGCTGGACAAACTGCTTTGGGGAGTGAGGAAGCAGCCTGGCATGGGAGAGTCAGAGAGTCCGGGGCTTCTATCCTAGCACCTCTTATTCTCCCTGTGGCTCAGTCCCCCATCTGTGCAGGGGTGGGGGGGTGACAGCAGGGCTGCTCTTGTGGGATTGCTGAGGACGGAGTACCAGCACAGGGCCTGTGGACACACGTGAGGACTCCAGGTTAGCTATGCTACCTGCAGCATCACTCATTTGGGAAGAGCCTCTGCCAACTCATTTGTCTTTGTAAGGATCACTCAGATTGAGGCTGAGGCATCAGAACTGGGAGAAAACTTTTTTGTTTTTAGAATTATTTTTTATTTAATTTTATTTATTGTCATTATTTTATTTATTTATTTTTTATCTTATTTTTTGGAGAGGTTTTTGCTATAGGGCTTGTGTGCTCGCCAGAAAGACAGACAGAAAGCAAACGATCACCTCTGAGGGGGATGACCACACTGCAATCCCTTCTCCATTCTCCTCTTGGGATCTTGGGCACGCATGCCCATGTGCCGCCTGGCATGAGTTTAAGCCACCAGGTCAAGGACTTGAACCGTAGTCAACTACATGGGGGTCCAGCGATGTAGCCATTATGCCAATTGCTGGTCCTATATTTTATTTATTTACTTATTTTTTGAAGTTGACTAGAGAGAGAAGGAAAGTGAGAAAGCAAGCTGCCAGGTTCGGGACTTGGACCACAGTCAGTCATGTGGGAGTCCGGCCACCTTAACCACCAAACCACCTGCCAGCCCCCAAAACTAGTTTTAAAATAACAGAAATGATGGCCAAGTGCACGTCTCTGAATGAAGTTAGAGGATCCCTCCCACCACCACTACCCAAGTCACACACAAAACCGACCCTAGGATAGAATGTCATGGTTGTAGAGAGAGAATCAAGGGGCCAGCAGGTGGCATAGTGGTTAAGGTGCTGGACTCCCACATGGTTGACCACGGTTCGAGTCTCAGACCTAGCAGACTGAAATTCACACTGGACACGTGTGCATGCATGCCCCAAATCCCAAGAGGAGAATGGAGGAGAAGGGACTGTGGCATGGCCATCTCCCCTGGGGGGGGGGTGATTTCTCACTTTCTCTATGTCTCTCTCCAGTGAGCACACACACCCTATAGCAAAAATCCCTCCAAAAAAAAAGAAAAAAAGAATCAATCTTTCTCTCTTATATCTGGGGAAACTGAGGCCTAGCATGGGGAAACAACTAGGGTTGGCAGCTAGCTAAGTCAGTGGGGCACAGGTGGCACATCTAGGAGGTAACAGGAGGGACACAGGGTCCACCCCTCTGCCAGGAGGTCCCAATTTACCCCACTATTTTTTTTTAAAGAATTATTTATTTTAATTTTATTTATTCATTCATTCATTTTTAATTTGACCAGAGAAAGACAGAGAGAGAGGGAAAGTGAGAAAGCAAGCCGCCAGGTCCGGGACTCAAACCACAGTCAGCCATGTGGGAGTGTCCAGTGCCCCAACCACCATGCTACCTGCTGGTCCCCTTCACCCCACTATTAAACTCTCCTTTATGAAGCACATGGTCCCATGGGGTAGGAGGGAGGCCTGGGGTGGGCCTGCTCATTACTTTGGGGTCTCGGGGCTCTGGGAGCAGAGGATGGGGAAATCCATTTACCCTCAAATCCTGAAGCTTCTCAGTGCTACCCGTGAGGAAACTGAGGCTGGGGTGGGCTGGGCCAGGGCGTCATGGGGCCCAGAGTACAGGCCTGGCCCCTTGGCTGAGCCAGAGCCTGACCCAGTAGCACGGACAGTGCCCACCACCCACCGGGCCAGCCTGTCCTCCAGGTCTCGGATCTGGTTGTGGTAAAACTCCCGCATCTGCTCGGCCAAGGGCGCTTCCACCGGCTTGTTGGCCGCGCTGGGATCCCTCTTGCCCCCTTTCTTCTTCTTGACCTCAGGCTCCTTGCTTGCCTTCTTTTTGGGAGCCATGGCTGATGGCAGCCAGTGCTAGGGCCCCTTTAAGAGGCCAGGTGGTTGCTAAGGAAGTTGGCCCTATACATAGCAACAGGCGAGGCTGTGAGGCCAGGCTTAAAGGGACCCTGCCCTCTTCCCGGCAGGGAGCTGTGACTGGCCCTCCCCCTCCATGGCAGCCAGCATCCCAAGGCCCTCGGCTCAGTGTCCCAGGTCAGGGCATCTCAGACCAGGCCAGGCCCTTGGGGCACTCCTCTGGGCTCTGGGGAGGCCCCTCTTCCGCCCAAGTGGTAACGAGTCAGGTGGGAAATACCAGAATGGGTCAGAGCTCTAGGAATCACCATCCTGCCCCTTCCAACTGGGACCTCCCTGTAGCCTGCCAGGACCAGAAGCCAGTCACCTGGCCCTGAGCCCAGACAGTGCCTCTCCGGGGCCTCTGGAACCTTCTCGTGAACTCTCAGGTGATGCAGCCACACTGCACAGGCATCCTGCCTGCTTCACGCAGAGCCAGGACGGAAGGCCTGTGGTCAGAAAGGGACACCGTGTTGCAGCTCTCGGGCCGGTGTCCTGGGACGTCCTTGTCCATGGGCCGGGTCAGTCGTCCACAGAGCTTAGTGGAACTGGCCCACTGCCCGATGCTGACCCGGTGGCCCATTCTGTAGCTTTGGCCTGGGGTGGCAGCATCCCAAGGGGATGGTAGCGGGTGTCAGCTGGTAGATGCCTGGCCCAGCGTGGGTTCCAGACAGGCTCTGGCCCCTCTGGGGTCTGCCTCCATCCCTGATCTCCGGCCCATCTTGCCTGTTTGCCTGCTTGTGTCCTTGTTCAGCTGCAAGATGTGCGACTCTTACAGCCAGACACATGGTTCCAGTCCCAGCCCCTGCAGCCTGAAAAACACGTCAGGCTCGCACGTGTACCCACGCGTGCCCAAATCCGAGAATCCCCAAAACAGAAAGAATTGCAGCATAACCACACCCCATTATGGGTGCTTTCTCCCTCTCCTCTCTCTGTCTCTTTGTCTCTCTCTAGTGAGAGCATGTACCTTCTGGCAAATGGGAAAAAAAAAATCCAACTCTTGGGACTAGCAGGAGGCGTGGTGCTTGAGACACTAGACTCCTACATGGCTGGCCCCGGTTCAACTCCCAATAAATTGGCTTGCTTACTCGCTTTCCCTCTCTCTCACTCCATGTCTCTCTCCTGTCACATTTTTAAAAATTGGGACCAGCAGTTAGCGTAATGGCTATGTCGCTGGACTCCCATGTAGTCGACTGCGGTTCAAGTCTAGGACCCGGTGGCTTAAAACTTACGCCGGGCGCGTGTATGTGCGTGCCCAAGATCCCGAGAGGAGAATGGAGGAGAAGGGATTGTGGCGTGGCCATCCCCCCCAGGGGGTGATTTCTTGTTCTGTCTCTCTGTCTCTGTCTGGTGAGTGCACGTGCCCTATAGCAAAAACCTCTCCAAAAAATTTTTTTTTAATTAATAAATAAAAGTTAATATTTCTTTAAAAAATTCAACTCTTGACTGGATGCCTTTATTAATTCATTACATTCCCTTTCTTTATTCACCTAATAGCCTTGACCCTTTGCCCTTATTGAGTGGTGTGTCTAGAGCAGCACCAGCGATGTGTATGGAGTAGCGGAATTACAGTCTGATCTGAGGCTCTGAGGGAAGGTACAGGAGGCTACGAGAGCGTGGGGGCAGAGTCAGGAACAGCTGCCATCGTGGATTCTGTCATGGTGGCTCTAGGCTTGAAGAAGTTACCTGGGGAGGAGCTGTGGGTGGGAGGTGAGGACAGAGTGCAAGGGTCCTGAGGCCTGAGAAAGCACCTCAAGGTTGATGAAGGCCAGACACGCTGCAGCTCAGGAAGGAGCGAGCAGGTGATGGAGAGGTGGGGAGACACCTCCCAGGCCAGAGCGGGGCCTGCTTGTTATCTGATGGGGAACAGGGAAGGCTCCCAGTTGCATCTGAAAGCTCTCCCTAGCTGCAGGAGGTGAAGGATTGGAGTGGGGGGCAGGAGTCGACTATTAGGTCAGCTTGGCCCCCGGGGTGACAACCGTAACTTTCCTGTGTCAGGCATTGTCCTAAAGCTCTCCACAGAAGGTCACAATGAATCCTCGCAGCAGTCTCGAACACGCGGCTCTGCACGAGGGAGGCATTTGTTCCCATTAAACTGATGTGAAAATTGAGCTTTGTCTCTCTCTAGTGAGAGCATGTACCTTCTGGCAAATGGGAAAAAAAAAATCCAACTCTTGGGACTAGCAGGAGGCGTGGTGCTTGAGACACTAGACTCCTACATGGCTGGCCCCGGTTCAACTCCCAATAAATTGGCTTGCTTACTCGCTTTCCCTCTCTCTCACTCCATGTCTCTCTCCTGTCACATTTTTAAAAATTGGGACCAGCAGTTAGCGTAATGGCTATGTCGCTGGACTCCCATGT